TCCTCATGAAGCCATTCAGTGACCTAGAGCTGCAGCCATGAGTCAGTTCACTGGTAGAAAATGAACCTCAGCTATTTAGAAGCAACAGTCACCGACATGTTCTGGTTCCACTTTCTTTAATGTGAGGAGCTGATGCTTTTATATGTCAGACATGAGAATCAGCTGAGACTCTGTGGGTCTGTTGGTTGGACACAACAAGATGTGTGGAGACGCCACCTTTGGCTCCGGAGAGTCACAGTGGGACTTTTTCCCAGTGTCTGACATTCTGGGAATAAACTGATCAATCAGATCATCAGGACAGTGATCAGCTGATTGATCAGTGACCCTGCTGGTTGTGTCTCCACTCAGTCAGTCAGACGTTTTTCATTTGTCACCCAGCTCTGTATGTTGTCATAAATCCAGGCAAACATATACAAAAATAGGTTTGTAGAGTCCTGCTTTGTGTTATATGAGGAGAAAATAAAATGTCCAGAACTCTTCTTCCAAAACAGCAAAAGAAAGTTAAAGTAAAATAAAACAACCTTCCCTATCTGTATTTACCCTTTGAATTAACTCCGTTTTTATTTTAATATTTTATTTTGTTTAAAAGTGTTGGAAACGAGAGCTGATGCTAAAGTTCAGCTGCTGAACTGCTTTGACAGCTACATAATAAGCAACTGCCAGAGAAATTAAAAGCAGATTTGATTGTTTGTGTGTGTTTGCAAACTGTACATACGCTGAGGCCGTATCGTTGTATACTCAAGTATTTTAACCAGGCAAGCCAGCTGACAATGGAGGGGAGGGTCACCAACAAGCCTGCAAACATCTGCAGTAACACACAGAAGTGCACAGGTGAGATGCTCCAAGTATTTTATTCAGCACTTAACACTTCCACCTTAACATCTGTGGTCATGAAGCTCAAAATGTTTGTTTTTGATGAAAATGTCATAAATGTATACATTCATTTATATGTTTATTATCGAGGTCATAGTTAAAGGAGGTGTCGTACTGGACTACATTATATTCAGAGGTGTCTCTATATTTTTGTCCTCCACAGCTACATGCATGAGAGGGTCAGAATATTAGGAACACCTCTGAATATAATGTGGTCCAGTACAACACCACCTGCATGTGTTTGTGTTGCACTGTGTATGTAGGTCACCATCATGAAGACATAGGAGATGGTAATGAAGATGTTGGCGATGGCCACCACTGTCTGGTCCGCTGAGATGGCCAGCGCCAAAGAGGTGGCTGTGTAGGCGGTCAGAATGACGGTGAACATAAAGAGGAAGAAGGCCGCTGCTGTGGGCTTCAGACCTATGCACACAGAAACACACAAACATGTGCATCGGAGCATCACCAGCAAGACCAAACCTGACTCATCAATGTAACCGACAAAATATCTTTTTTTAGATCATTTAAAATGCGCGCATTGTACTTATAAAAAAATCTGCATATATCTCTTTACAAACAACAATGCTAATAGCTGCTAACAAGGAAAAAAACACCCACATCAACAGTAAACACTGCTGTAAAAAAAAAAAGGAATTTAGAGCATTTAAAAATTGTGAAATTCTTAAAGAAAGCCAAAGAAGAACTACACTAAGTGTAGACTTTACTAAAGCTTGATGAAGATGAATAATGTGGGTTGTACTGAAATTTAACGCTCAAACATCACTAAATAAATTTTGTAAGGACACGCAAATTAAAACTAATACAGGATAAAAATGTAAATAAAACCAGTTACTTTAGCAAGATAAAACCCAAAATGTACAAAAAATACTTGAGAATTAACTATATAAACTATAAATAACCTGTAGTAAATAAATGTATGAAAATATGATGAATATATAAATATAATAGGGGCATCAAACATCATAGCATCATGTGTGTCCTCTACACACCGATCATAAAGTACGCCACGACGCTGAAGATTAAGGGAGGGATGGTCCTCAGGGTAATGATGTCGGACAGGATCTTAGACAGGAAGTAGACAGACAGTCTGTAGTAACCACTAATATACTCATGACTGGAGGGAGAGAGAAAAGCAACAGTGTTACTAATAAACCAAAGGTGACGGCAAGAGGAAATTGTCTTAAAGACTTTATCAGACATCTTATCATTTGGACTACCAAAGTATAAGTTTATTGTGCTTCACCTCTCTGGCAGGTCCTTTATACCAAAAGATGACTAAAATAATGAAAATGTGTTTGAGGACAAAAATCAGGCCCCAAAATGGTTAACCTGCATTTTTTGGGTTAAAGATTTTGGGATATGCACATTTTCACTCAATAAGATCAATATCAGTCTTTAATGGAGCTGGAGTCAGGATGTTTTAGCCTAGCTTAGCATAAAACTGGGAGGAAAGAAATTAGCACACAACTCAGGCAAAACATAATTTGTGTTTTTTACACTTCTGTTTATGTATGACTTAAACAGGTCAGCTTTAGAGGTGCTGGTAGACGTACAGTATGTTCAGACTTTGGACTGAGCCCGGCTAGCTGGTTCCCTGTTTCCAGTATTTACGCTAAGCTAGGCTAATCCATTTCAATTCCAGATCCATATTTAACTCGCAGACATGGGTTTGACATGGAGCTTCTCATAGATATAAAGTGAAGATGCATATTGATACAAGTGAACTTTTCCTTTAAACTAAATATAAAAATCTTTACCTTGTGGGGACCTGAGTTTTGTCACCAGGTAGGAAGCAAGTCCCCATAATGTGACTATCTTAACAGATGTTTGTCAGTACAATCTGATTAATTGCACACTGAAATTGCTCATTGCAGCTCACTCTCAGTGAAATTATTACATTGCCCCAAAATGTTGAATTGTTTCTACAAGGCTTGTGTTGATGGTTAGAGGAATGTCCTCATAAGTTCTGTCTGTGTGTGTCTGTGCATCAAACTCACATGAAGAGTTTCCTCTCTGAGATGAAGAGCTCAGCAGACGACAAGCAGCTGAAACACTGATTCACAATGATGAAGAAGAGTGCGCCAAACCTGCAGACACAACAATTTACTCCAACAAGCCAAAACACAACTTCTTTTGAAATGCAGTATGATTTAGTACAAGTTTAAAACCCTTTTTTTCGCGGCAGCATTTGGAGACAGTGATCCATGCGTTTGTTACATTACGCATGGATTACTGTAATGCTCTGTACGCTGGACTTGGTCAATCCGGGATTGCCCGCCTCCAGAGGATCCAGAATGCTGTCGCTCGGTTATTGGTTGGGGGGCGTAAGAGGGACCACATAACGCCAGTACTGGCATCTCTCCACTGGCTTCCGGTGCGTTTCAGGGTTAGTTTTAAGATTCTTTTATTTGTTTCTAAATCCTTAAATGGGCTGGCACCATCTTATCTTGTGGAACTTTTGAGTCCATATAACCCGTCGCGGTGCCTCAGATCAGCAGATAAGCTTCTTCTGGAGGCACCGAGGGCCAGGCGGAAAACTAGGGGGGGATAGAGCCTTTGCTGTGGTTGGTCCAAAACTGTGGAATGCCTTGCCGCTTTATATTAGGCAGGCCCCCTCCCTGTCTACTTTTAAGTCTTATTTGAAGACCCACTTGTATTCATTGGCGTTTGGCCAGGAATGAGACTCTGTCTGTAGTGTTAGTGTCTATATTATTGTTTATAGTTTTTTATGTGTTGTTTTTATATTTGCATGATATGTTAAGTGCTTTGGTCAGCTGTGCTGTGGTAAAGCGCTATATAAATAAAGTTGAGTTGAGTTGA